TGATGGAAATGGAAATTCGATTTCTTCATTTATGATCTCTAAATCCATAATATCTAAAATTATTTCTTGTTGTATATCTATAAAATGAATATTGACTTACAAGATTTTCCAAAAAATTTTCAATATAAAGAGGAAAAACTAGATGTTTAATATTTAAAATAATAAATCAATATAAAACTCGGCTAAACATTTAATGATGGATAAATTTAAATTAAATAAAATTTTATTTTTATTGAATTTTAATTAACAAATATTATTAATATTTATAAAATAATTTAATTTATACATTAAATTTAAAGGAGCGGTGGAGCGGCGCTCCTCCATTCCAGCCCTAAAAGGAGTTAGCTCTCGCTCCCACTCCTCAATTTTAGAAAGGAATGGTACTCCAGGTGCTTTTGGAAAAATGTAGCGGCGCTCCTTAACAACTATGCTAATAAGATATTACAAAAAAAATTAATGATCATTAGAGCAAAAATAATGAAGTTTTAATGTCAAAAGTTTATTTATATTTTTAGCCAATTTGCGAAAACATATTGTATCTCTACACCCACAATCCTTATCCTCAGAATCTGTTAAAGTACCAGATACATTGTATGGTTTGAGGAAATTATCCGCTGATGAAAATTACAAGGTTTTACAATATATTCGACGATATAATAATTAGTTAATTTAAATATTTTATATTAAAGAATGCGTACATTATACCAAATCTAGCTATAGAAGAAATCGAAGAATACCTAGCAGATCCGGTAGCTTAAACGTCCGTTGATATAGTGGATTGGTGGTATAGAAACTCGAAACGTATTCCAAAGCTCTCGACAATGGCCAAAGATTACTTACCCCAACAATCTACGTCCGTAGCCAGCGAACGCACTATTACTAAGAAAAGGAATCGAATGTCAGCGACAACTTTGAATCAATGTCTATGTGTGAATTCGTGGGATGTTAACATTTTAAATTTGCGCGAAGAATATTTTATGTAATTTATTTTATGAATATAAATTTTTATTTTTTCTTTATGAAAATAATAAAGATATTAAAAATGTAGCGTATTATATATTTTGTATTTGCAAATTTTTTACTTATAAAATTTAAAAGAGCCTATTTACGATAAATAAATAATTCTAAAGATATTTAATTGTCATTATAATTTCCAAAAAGAAAGGGAGAGGGGTTCATAAATAAAAATAATTTAATTCCTAATTAGTAGCATCTCTTTTCTAAATGTTTCAAAATTTTGTCTATGATAATATTTTTAAGCACGAATATTATGATTTTGGATAAGTCATTCACACAATTACCAAAGAAAAAAAAATCTATTTAAAATTATAATTTATAATGAAGCAGTGGTAGATAGTATTTATCGGGTAAGACCTGTTGTAATAGGAATTTATTATGATTTATGAACATATTATAGATATTGATGATAAGTTTTTTATTGATTATATATATATAGATATTTATGAATATAATAATTTGTAAGGTTCAATACCTAACAGATATAAGGGGGACATTGTTATTTTTATGATGTAACTTCATATGAATGAATAATGGACGTCCGAGAATTGCATGTATGTAATTTAAATAGACTAATATTACGAATGAATGGAACATATAAATTGGCGTATTATGGCAGAATTAACTCGTGATTTAAATAACATGTAAATATAATAAATGTTTGTAAAACTCATAAATTATAAAAAATAGTTCAAAATTTGTTAAAATTATTCCCAAGATCTTAAGTCAAATAATTATAATCTTGTGTTTCAAATTTTCCAAATTTTATGTAAAATATAGTAATTATATAAAAGAAATTTAGCATATTTTAAAATTAGGGAAAATTCATTTATCCAAATGCCGTAAATTTAAAAATGGGATCCTTGCTGAACTTGTCCCGTCTTTTCTTATTAACTACCAATCTCCTAAATAGTTTCAAATGATATACTACTCATATTTTATACCCTCCCAAGTTAAAAAAAAAGAATAAAATAATAGCAGTATTAAAATTTTACGAGACCCTAAGGCTTAGAATATTTTTCTAATATCAAAAACTTTTTGCATGGCTCAAAACAAGTATATAATATTTTATTTCTAGATTTTTATGCGTGAAGTTAAAAAGTAACGAAATTAGAAATTACTTAATGAACCCAAAAGTTTTAAAACATCTTTTCAATATCAAATTTATATAAATAAACTTAAAAAAAATATCTAAAATAAAATTTTTCGTCGTCAAATAAATTATAATGGCAGTGACACCATATTAATGCTCCAAAGGTTTAACAAAATCTTTATAATATCAGAAACTTTTTATTGGGTTCTAACATAAAGAAATAGTTTTTTTTTTATCATTTTACATTTCACACATGGAATTTATAAAAATGGCACTAAAAATTTATTTATAAATATAAAAGTTTTGAGCATCTTTTCACTATTAAAAACTATTAACTAGGATAAAAACAAAGTTTTATAAAATTTTCCTAATTTTTTCCTCGTGGACTAAATTATAATAACAGTGATAATTTCTTACTAAATCCAAAAGTTTTAGAACATTTTTGGGTATTAAAATTTTAACTAGGCTTTAGACAAAATTTAAAATTTTTTTTATAATTTTGTTCCTCGTGGTAAAATATAGTGGAAGTGCCAATTTATTACTATATTAAGTTTTAGAACATCTCTCTAGTATAAATAACTTTAAATTACGCTTAAAATACATTTTTAAAAAATTTAACATTTATTTTTTCCTCGTGGAGTAAAATATTACGGCAGCGCCCATTTATTACTAGACCCAAAGGTTCTTGAACATCTTTCTAATACATAATATTTAAAGGTTTAAAACAACATCTTAAAAAAATGCATAATTTTTTTTTCTCGTGGTAAAATATAGTGGAAGTGCAATTTATTACTAGACCCAAAAGTTTTAGAACATCTCTTTAGTATGAAAAACTTTAAACTACCCTTAAAAGAAATTTTTAACTACCCTTAAAAAAAATTTTTAAAAAATTTTAACATATTTTTTCCTCTTGGAGTAAAATATAATGGCAGTGCCAATTTATTACTAGACTCAGAGGTATTAGAACATCTTTTTAGTATCAAAAACGCTTAACTTAACTTAAAACAACGTTTTAAAAAATTTTCTTCTTTCCTTGAGGAACACAATAAAATGGCAGTCACAATTTATTATTAGACTTGATATTTTAGAATATGTTTTACCATAAATAAAAAACTTTTAACAAGGCTTAAAACAACATTTTTAAAAAAATCATAAATTTTTTTCCTCGTGGAGTAAATTATAATGATAGTGCCAATTTATTACTAGACCCAAAAGTTTATGGATATCTTTCCAGTATCAAAAACTTTTAACTAGGCTTAAAGAAAATTTAAAAAAATTTTCATAATTATTTTTCCTCGTGGGGTAAAATATAATGATAGTGCCAATTTATTACTATCCCAAAAGTTTTAGGACATCTTTCTAATATCAAAAACCATAAACTAGGTCTAAATTTTTTTTTTAAATTTCCACATTTATTGTTTCCTCGTGGAGTATAATATAAGGGCAGTGTTCATTTATTACTAGTTCCAAAGGTTTTAGAACATCATTCTAGTATCTAAAACTTTTAACTAGGCTTAAGATATGTTTTAAAAAAATTTTACAATTTATTTTTTCCTCGTGGAATAAGATATAATAACAGTGACAATTTATTACTAGAACCAAAGATTTTTGAACATCTATATCAAAAACATTGAACCCGGATTAAAACAAACTGGTTTAATTTTCAATATATATTTTTTTGACCCAGTTAGCCAACCCAGCAGGCCAACCCACCAAGCCGACCCACCAAGCCCACCAGATGGGTCGGCTCATGAGACCTTAAGGGTCGAGTCGGGTCTGATCTATGGCTAAATCGGTTTGCTAGGGTTTAGGGTCGTTTTTTCGGCTCAAACCTTGCTGGGTTTTCGGCCAAGCCGACCCGACCCGGCAATTTAACAACACTAGTCCATTCTATAAAGTGTAAAATGGTAACAGAGAGTTATATATATTTGATAACCTTTTATCAATGCAAGTTGCTAAGAATTATATTATTGCATTATGTAGTTTTTAAAATCTATTATCAATTGAGGCAAATGTATGAATTTTTTTTATCACTTGTAAGTCTTTAGAGGCAAAATTTTTTTATATCAGCAATTGAAAATATTTTAATGTAATAAATAGATTATGTATTAAAAAATATTATTTTTAGAAATGTCTTGTATTGTTTTAATTATTTATATGCTAGTTTATTTTGTATGCATAATATAAAATGTGACAAAATCAGAATAATTGTTCTGAGTTAACAAATTTTAAAAAAGTATAATATAATAATATAAAACCCGGCCAAAGGCCGGGCAAAAGCGGGGGGTCGATGGCCCGCAAATTTGAGAGTATGGGGGCTACGCCCCTCATAAATTTTTTTTTAGTTGAGCCCTCTAAGATTGTAAAGGCTAGCGACGCCCCTGGGTATAAAAATAATATTTAAAAATTTTAAGGGGGAGGGGGCTTTCAAATTATTTAGGAGATGAATGACGTCACTGGTAAATTGCATTAATGCAAGAAGATGATAAAATTTAATGTTATAGGAGCGATAGAAGATTTATGGAAAAAATCTGAACAGAAGTATAAATCTACGCTACACTTTACTTATTTACATAATTAGTTTAGATAGATATTATACATTACCTTATTAGTAATTACCTATTGATGTATTTGTACAGCATTAACATATTCTCATCATAAGAACATTCAAGGAAATTCTTCACCATCTTCGTTCAACATTGCTCTTATTATATTTGGCATGATATTTATCTATATATCTATGTATTAGTTTATTAAAGTGGTTAAAATATTTTTGATGTGAATTAATGAACAATCTAAATATTATAAATTGAAAATTAATTTTACAAATTCTCATCGCATGTGACATAATTGACTAGAAAGTCATTCACACTTTGATTATAATATTTTTAAACTTTCAATTTTGAAATTTATGTTTATATTGACAAATCTAAAAGATATTACGATATTAGCTCCTACACAATTTGACAAAGATTTTAATGAAGCAATTAAAGAATATATAAATCAAAAATATGCAAATAAGGTAGAAATATATATGATTAAAACTAATGAAAAATAAGGTTATATTAAAGCTAGGCCTAGCTATATCTTTATGGGATATTCAAAAATTTGAACATAGCTATATTTTACAAAATGACTCCAATGCTTATACTAGAGGTATATATATATATATATTTATTAGTGTATTCCATTAATTTTTAAGTATTTTTTAGATATGTTATATTTTCTCCATTTATTGATGAGATTATTATAGGAAAAATAAAATCATCAACACAAGATGGAATACACAGTTTAAAGAACCTCTTTATAATATAAATATATTATTTTTTATAGTTACAATTGGGTTTTTTGATGATATTATTGTTCCATCACATTTATTTCAAGAAAAATCTTTATTGTAATTTATATATAAAGATTACTTATGTAATATATATATTTTTTTATATAGACAAATTAATTTAAAATAATATTATTGGTTTATTAAGATTTATGAATTTGTATCCATTTTGTAATATCCTTTAATAAATTGAAACACTAGTGATGAAAAAGAACAAACGTGGTATTGGGAATATCAGACAATTGTCGATGAACAAGATATTCAAGAAATTCGACAAGAAATGTCACCCAAAAGTCACAAACTATTTATGGATGTTGGAGAAGAGATAAGGTTTATAATATTTTTAGTAACTTTTTTGATTTAGTTATTGTTTTTTTACATTTAATTTCATGATGGTCTACTATTTTTTCTTTTTTTGATACTTTTAAAATATATATGATTGGTTTTAATGTTATTTAGCCTCAATCAATGCATCATTTACAACACATTTATAATTTTTTGAACTTAAGTCTCAGCATGTAGATGACTAGTAACTTTTCATGACTAATAAAATTTTGAGGTTCTCTGAGGTTGCACTTAGAATATGATCACTGTCTCCTAAAAAGGTTTTAAAATTCACCTAAAGAGTGCTGATGCCATATAGGAATCTGATTGTAGAAAACTGCCTAAGATCTAATTAAAACAAAATATAAGCAAAATACCTTACGAGTATCCTCATCTGCCTACGACAAAAAGAAGGTGGAGAAGACAGTGGCACCAAAATTTGTGGAAACAAGATTTATGACAGCAATAAGTGACCTAACATTATGACAAAAAACTGATCTAATAGTGAGATAGTGACAATGTGTGATGCAGGAGGCATAATTAGTAATATGGGATAAGTGCTGGATTCACTGCAAAGAAGGAGAGTAGATGGGTGTTATATACAAAAAAATAGATGAAAAGGTAAGGGTGTAAGTTTTATAGTCAAAATAAATTTTTATTTTAAATTCTTATCTATATATAGTATTTTATAATTATGTAATTTAACTTCTAATATTATGCAATTAGATTGACCTAAAGAATATAATATAATAATAAAGTTATTATATATAATAAAGTTATTTTATATAATAAAGTTATTATATTATATGACAAATATAATATTCAAATAGCGTTGATTATAACCTTATAAAATATAACATATATCTTATTTCCCATCAAGTTCAAGTTCGTCTATTAATCTTTTTGTTTACCAAGTTCAAGTTCATCTAATAATCTTTTTGTTTACCAAGTTCAAGTTCGTCTATTTATCTTTTTGTATGCTTTTGTTCCCTCGTTGGGTATCAGTTTTGAATTCCTTCTTGACTTGGTTTTATTTTATCTTCTTCTAACTTTATATTGCCATCTATTTTTATTGACTCGGGTTTTAGTTCTTTCCTTGTTCGTAGTTGTTTGGCATGTTTTTTTTTATTCTTCCCTTTTCCAGGGTTGTGATGGCGGATTCCATGGGTATATGCAACACCTGGTATATCTCTGTGATGTTTTTGACATTCAAAACAGCTCTTAACTAGTTTTTCGACATCTTTTTCTAACGTTCCCACTATATATAATGTCTTGTAATGGATTTCATTGATGTAATACCTGGATGTCCCATATGAAATATATGTAATACTCTTTTTTGAAGTGAGTACAGAATGATTAATCTGCCATTCCAAAATAAAATACCGTCATCATTTTCTATTTCATCTATTCTTGTTCTAAAAGCTTGTAATTCTGGTGCTTGATTTTGTATATTTGTACCATTTATTAATATTTTTACTCTTCTTAAAATTGGATCTTTTGCGGTAAGTTCTTTCTTGATAGAGTTTATCATTTTGATTTAATTATTATTATCAATATACTTCGATTATTATCATCATTTTGATTTAATTATCATTATCATTATGTTTAGTTATCTCTTTGATTTTATAAACCATTTAAATAGAATTGTTTATTTTTAGTATCGGGGTAGCTTTAGTTCTTTATCTAGTTGTGACATCTTTAGTCCAGCTATTAATTGATCGCGAATTCTTAGTTCTATCTTCAACGGGCTAGTTCCTTTATGTTTTTTAAATAACTCAATATGGATTCTGTTGGTCTGCGACTTAATCTAATGAAATCAATTCTCATTATTTATTCCTATATATGCTATTAATAATTTTTTCAAAGTGGCGCCAGTTTGAATCTTTACATTCAACATATTTTTTTTCACCTATCCGATATTTCCGATATTGGTTCAAAACCAATCCGATACCGATTCGATATTTATATTGATTTTTTACCATCTCCCTTTGAACCAAATCTAAGAAATCAATATTTTTATGCAAAAAAATAGAATTATGCTTTAATTTAATTTTTTTATTTCTACAATAATTAAAAAGTTTATGGATATTGGTGGTATTATATGAATTTTTCATTATTTCTCCCCAGGGATGGGAACCCTCCTGGACCCTCGTATTTTGGCTGAATCTGGACTTGAACCCTTTTAAAAAGTGGAGGGTCCAAGGGTTCAGGGTGCTAAAAAATTTTAACTTAAATTTTTTTTTTTAAATTAATGTAAAAATATAATTTTTAAAAAATAATATAATAATATAAAATTTTTATAATTTTATTAATTTTTTTCGTGGAATCTCCCTAAAAAATAGTCACTTTAAAACTATAATTGATAAAGCAAGGGATGTTGTAAAATATTTAAGAACTCCCACAATTGTTAGAATATTAAAGTCCATGAAAAGGTAAATGGCAATTTTAGATTGCACAACACGTTGGTCCTTTATATGTATGATGCTAGAGCGATTATTAATTTTGAAAGATTTCTGTAATGTTTTTATCATAGGAGCATGTGAAATCATTTTGTCAGAAGATGATTGGAATCAAGTAAAAGAGCTTACTAGTGTGCTGGTTCCTTTAAAAATAACAACATTAAGAGTGCAAGCAGAACAATTATGTTTATCGGATTTTTATGGCATATGGTTATGTCGATTAGAGTTAGGGAGATTAACAAGTTCTTTTTCAAATGAAGTATTAGAAAATACGAAAATAAGAGAGCAACAATATTTACAAAATAGTGTTGTATATGCTTCTATATATTTAGACCCGCGATATTAGGTTAGTAGTGAGCAAAAACAAATGGCTATAGCCATCTTGAAGATTTATGGCATACCCAAAACTCTATTATTTACAATACATTGGTGGTTACAACAATATCTACTGGTTGTAGCGATAACAATGATAATGATAACGATATTGATGATCTGGAAATTTTACTATTAGATAGAGAAAAAAAATTAAATTATCATCTGATAGAAAGGAGCAAAAAATATCTATTGTATCTTTAATAGAAAAGTTCTTGGAAGTTATGAGAATAAATAGAGATGCAAACATTTTAAAATTCTGGGAGGAAAATTCTTCAATATATCCAGAATTATATACCTTTTCTAGAATCGTCATGGCTGTACCGGCGACACAAGTACAATAATTTATGTATTATAAAAATGACTATCTATTTTAGGTAAGTGTAGAACCTGGATTTTCATCGTTGACTAATTTACGTGGAAATCTGAAGGATGATATTTTAAAAGATATCATGATTGTGCGATTGAATAAAATATTTAAAATATAAATTATCTCATTTCGAATTATAAATGTGTATATATTGAAGTATAATAAAAAATGAATGAAAAAAAGTCTTATTTTGAGTCATTATTTTTATGTTACCTCTGAACCCGGACCCTAACCCTGGACCCGGGTCCTTTTTAAATTTATTACCGAACCCGGACCCTTTTTTTTGTCGAAGGGTTCACATCCCTGTTTCTCCCCATGAAATTATAATTCCGCAGATAACGCATTTTATATCTTTGTCTTTTGTATAATATTTCCATCAGATACCATATTTAAAAAAATTCTTCTATTTAAAGAATAAATAATAAAATTGGCGTTATTATTTAAAAAGATTTAAAATAAATAATTGGGGTTCCATTCTATTTTTATAAAAAAACTTTAAAAATATTATAAATCTATTTTAAAAAATAAATAAAATTTAAGGGGTGTTGTGCATTTGCATTGTTTAAAAAAAATTATTTAAAAAGTATTATTAATATAAAATAAATATACATAAAATAACATAAAAAAAGAAAGTAAAAAGATCGGATCCGGGTCTTCGGGTATCGGCACGCGATATTTTTACAAAACGCAAGATATCGGTGCCGATCTGATATTTAATATCGGCACAGCCCTAAACATATATTTTATATAATCGAACTTATCATCTAGAAGTTTCTTTTTTACGAAATTCGTTTAATGTAATCTTTGAAATATTACCCATAATTTCTAAAGAGATATATTATTTATTTTTTTAAAACAAAAAAAATATACAATTCTATTTAATATTTAACTTGACCGAAGACCGCTTTTTTTTAATTTCGTCGCCAAATTTTATAGTCAAAACAATTGGTTTCTTTATTTAAAATTCTTATCTATATATAATATTTTATAATTATGTAATTTAACTTCTAATATTATAAAATAAGATTGACCTCAATAATATAATATTAAATATAGGAAAGTTATAATATTGTATGATAAATATTCAAGATACATTGGCCTCAAAAATGATACACCGGTGATCGATACAAATGAAATCGATCAGAAATACAAAGATAAAAATAGATAGCAAGATTAATATTATAATAGATAAGTGAAGGAGCTTACCACCAGAAAAGGAGAAAGCTAAAAAGAAAAAAAAATATAATATTCAAATAGCATTGAATATAACCTTATAAAATATTACAGTAAGAATTATTGACAAGCAAGAAAGTAATGATAAAATAGCCAGTTTATTCCATGAAAATTGGCGGACGAAGGAAAAGGCTAGATAATTGGATAATTAAATCAAGTTGGTCTTTGGTAGAGGCCTATTTAATATTATCTTGATATTCCATAAGTTGGTAGAAATGACGAAGAGAAAGACACACTATGGAATAGTCTATTGGAGATGTCAAGACTACTTTATGAAGAGCAGATTATTTTGGATGGTGATCTGAACGGGCATGTGGTACTGAATACTGAAGAGTATGAAAGAGTTCGTGGGATTTTAGATTTGGCATGAGAAATTTTAAGGGGGAGAATATTCTAGATTTTGAGCAAGCTATATAAATGTTTTTTTATATAACACTATTTAAGAAAGAAACAGAGAAACTGGTTTACTATCGGTTGGTGCTTAAAGTTCAATATATTATTTATGTAGAGATGTGATTGTTATATAGTGAGAAATGTGATATTTTCATCTCCAAATCTAAAGCAGGGATCAGAAAGTATAAGTTTTGCCCTACTAAATAATTGTTATACTTAGGGGCAATGTGGTATTTAATTTTCTAAACTTTTTAAAGAAAAATTTTCACTATTTTCGATTTCAAAATGCGCCAAAACGATATGTTATCTAATGTTTCTTTGGCTTACTTGGGTATACTTGGAATATCGTGATTAAACGGAGAATAAGAAGTTTATATTGCAAATAATATGCCCAATAAATATAATAGTTTGCTTTTCAATCTGGTCTGTACTATGTTGATAAACCTGAAGATTTTTCAATCCTAAAAAAAATTGAAGATAATCTTCTCAAGATCCATATCTCCAGTCAATCATAATATTAATCTGGGTGGAAAAATAAATAACACAAGAAACAAAGTGGTGCTCATACGAACATTAAATTAAATATGCTATATCTCAGAATTAAACTTAGAACCAATTTCAGAAAAAAATAAAATTTCCTTTTATTTTTTATGTTTGAATGTATTGTTTCAGAATATATTGCAAAATAATGAATTATAATGATGATATGATAGATAAATTATTTTTTTAATTTAATATTTGAAATCTTAATAAAGTAAGCTTTTTTTTAGAAAATTTTGAAACAAGTTATATTTATCATCATCATATTTAATCTAACCATAATCAATTAAAATAAATAAAATATGAAGGTTAAGGTTAGTTCTATCTTATATCCAAATATTAAATCAATATAACGAATATATATTTGAAATTGGGGTTATTTAGATCCCATCAGAGAACTTATGTCATTTTTCCACCGAAGTATTGAAGGGTTAAACGGTCCGATTTGGGTCGATTTTTAAAAATGGCTCGGTATCGATTTTAGCCAGAATAATAATATGTGCCCTCTCATAGATGGCAGAAAGGTTTGGACTTATATTTGCCAAATCTACAGGCTTACATAACATCATTTTGGCTAAAATTTTTATCGGGCCATTTAACATCACTACTTGACATATTATTATTACACCACCAATTCAATTCTGTTATTTTTATTTTATAATTTTAATATTTTATAAAATGGCTAAGAAACGCGTTACTCGTTATTAAAAAAAAGACGCGTTACCGTTACTCGTTACTTAAAAAATACTTTATGTTATATATAAATTTTTTTTACAATAAAAATAAAATTATACACAAATAATATATTATAAGATAAGTTCTTTTAATAATTTAGCAATTGATTTTCAAAATTTTGATCAGATAAACAAGAGAGTTAGAACTCAACATGGCTTTCACTGTGAAACACACGTTCAACTGTCACGGAGGATGGTAGGGTTATGTTATATTTAATAATAAATATTTTATTTGGGGGAATTTATTAAAAATATTTAAAGATATTCTTATTAAAAAAACTTTTACGTTATCTACACAAATATCTTCAATCAGATCCTCAACATTTTTTTTTATAATTACATTTTTCTATACTTGAGCTGCTTGACACCGAGGTTGAAATATTTGAATTTGTGCACCCACATTTACAAAGTATAGATTAATCTTCTTTATTTGTTTAAATAAGTTTCACACTGAGGCCATTTCCGAGTTAAATTATCTTCATCTGAAGAAATAAGTACTATTGACGTATATTCTTTATAAATAAATTTTAATATTAGATATACTTGACTAAATAAAATTTAACAAAAATGTAATAAATAAAATAAAAATGAAACCTTGTTGATTGTTCTAAATTACAAACTAGGCTTAAATTATTTTAAAAATATATAATTTAATATAATATTTTTTTTCCATATTTTTTAAGAAAAGAATTAAAGTAACGAGAAACGTTTTGCTTTACCATTGCTCAAAAAAAACTTGTTACCTTTGAAGCATGTAACGAATGGTGTTTCTTTTCCTTAAAAAAGGTAACGCCTTACTTTCATTGACGTTACTTTAGATCACTAATTACAACTAATATAATTAATGTCTTTAATTACCAATAAGATTTCGAATCATAGACAAAATATATATAGACAACAATCTAACCAACATGGTAAAAGATTCAGATCAACCTTCTAGTTTTACAAATCTTTCAAACAAAAACATAAATGAAAATAATTTGCCTAACTATTTAGGCAACAATCCAGCACCCATGACATTGATAGTAAATATAACTTGAATCTACATTTTTTTTTTATTTAGTTTTATATTTAGCTATAATATTTTTTAGAAACCTTGCTTTTTTGCATTAACTCATAATTTAGTATTATATTTTTTGTCTAAGTGATACCTTTTTTAAAACTTTTTCAATGGCATCAAATGCATTTTTGGTAAGATAATTTAATAATATGATGTCATCTTATTCTATTTTGTAATAATTAATAGGGATCGATAGCTGAGCCTGGTTTAGGACTTTTAACTTGGTGGACTTGAAATGTGCGATTGGAACATTATAATTTTAAATACAATATTTGTATTAATATACAATTTATAATATTATCTTCATATTATTTTGATTTACTACTGATATAGAGAGAATTTACGGAACAGGTGAATTAAAAAATGGTTTTAATAAAATTTAATTGGAAACTTTCACATTAAAGAAAATAATTTAATGGAAATAAATAATTATTTATTTCAAAATAACCAAATCACTAGGTTACACCAATCTTCAATTTTATTTACCAATGTAATTTATCAAAAAATAATACCATGCTGATTATATATTAATAATTTTATAATCTTTTAGTATTTTATACATTTTGGAATTTAAAGGTAGGAACAAATTTTTCAAATTTAAATAAGCGCTAAATAAATTATTTATAATTGGAAAATAGCAAAATAATTTGTTGAATACGTTTTTAAAAATTAACATACACAAATTACTTTTAATTTATTATACTAAAATTACGCACATTGCCAATAGCTTTTTTCTAAGAGAAATTTTTTCGATTTTTTTTCTTTCCTTTGTCTTTTTTAGCTCTGCTCTTCACCCTTTTCTTCTTTCCTTTCTTCCCCTCTTCTCTTTTTCCTACATTTAATACATTATATTTTACAAAAATGTAGTTTATAATATTTACCAATCAAGGTTACAGTTTGGTTTGAAACTGATCTTCAAACCTAATCGTAGTCCACAATGTAAATACCAAATCTAACCATCACAAAACAAAAACCAAATTGGACTATAATTCTGATCTAATTTTATTTAGGTTTTATGTACCTTTGCAAAACAAAATATCATTTATAAAACCGAAAAATTTCATTTATTTTCAACAAATTTTTTACCGATCAGATATTTCCCAATATTCATAATCCGGTAACGACACTAATACTATATTGATTGATTTTCATTTATGATCTATTTTTAACCAAACCAATGTCATATTAAAACAACATTTTTTATGCAACAAAATAACTAGACAAAACAAGTAACAATTCCAAATTTCCCATTTTTCATGGCCAATGTGATATTTGGTACATTAACACGAATAGTTAACTTAATTTTTATTAATTTAATCATCTCATTAAAATATGGGTAATGTTTATGGGCTGAATACTATTCGTTAAATATTTTTAAATCTTTTTCTTGTTGAAAACAATATAAACAAAAATAATATGATGATTTTTATATACTCTTTTTTAAAATACTTTACTAATAAATTGAAATTAGGGTTTCTTTTTCATTTATTATTAATAGGAAATTATGTATAACAAAATATAGAATTATATATAAAATCGTAAAAAAAAGATAATATCAGAATGGATCGGAAACGGTAAATATCGGCACCTACCAATATTTGGCCCAGCACTAGAAAATAATAATTAATATAACAGTCACAATAAATATATAAGAATAATTAGCAGTATCGATTAGATTGATAAATTTTTTTTTTTTTTTTTTTGACGGGTAAATTCTCTCTTTATTTCAATAGTTGCTGATATTAGATATTTTATTTTATGCATCCCCTCAATTTAGCTGATTTTTAAAAGTGACTAATTCGAGATTTAGGCAAAACAAATATTAGCTAAGCATTTAGATTTTGCCAAAAGAAAACCACTTTTGGAAGTTTAGATAATATATGTTTTGCTAATATTTTAACCAAAAAATATTACACAAGACTAGTTACATATAATCATTTAGTTATTTCAACTTTGGTAATTTTAGAAAATGAAAATATATCATCAGCAGATAGTGATATCATTATTGAAGAAGTGAATGATTCACTCGATCTCCGATTAATTAATTTCAAATATATGTTTTGAGCATTAAATAAAGGTTTAAACATCAAAAATTAATATTGTTTATTTTTTTTAGTTTTTACCATTAAAAAATATGTTATAAAAAACCAGGATTAATCAAAAATTTTAAAATAAATATTTGAAGATTTTTTCATAATTGCTTAAAAATCTTTATTTTTTTAGATGTTTTCTAAATAAAATAGCAATGCTATTCAATTAAAAAAACGTCTAGGAAAAATTTTTTTATTCTTTTTTAAAAAACAAATTTTTTTACAAAATTCATTTTTTATTTTGTTCAAAAATCTTCATATTTTCGATCTTCATAAGAGCAAGGATCTTTCAAGATTTTTAAATTTTGAGAAAATGAAACCCTGATACATAGAAGAATCTTTTGGCGACAAAATATCAAAAAAGTCTAACTTAGTATCAAAACAGGTAAACCCCCCATGAAATCTCACCTGAAAATATGTTTAGAACACGATGCCAAGCCGAAAATAATACCGGCAAAGGGTGCAGTATTCTAGAATGGATGCGATCATTAAAGGAATCAACCACTGGCTGAAGAGCAAAATCGAGCAGGTGTTGGACATCAGGTGAGCAAGTCTATTGACACCTGTGTTTAAAAGCGATGGTATATTCCGGTTTTGGGCGGACTTAAAAATACGCTTAAACCAACTTGTGAGATTTTAAGCATCCAATACCACGCATTAACGACTAATGCGTTAAATCATAGGTTAAAAATTACTAAAGTCTACTTTAAAAAGATTTTCCTTCAGACTCCGATACATAAGGATTTTTCAGATATCTTGATTGACTTAATGTCATCGAAACTTTTATCGCCAATCTATTTTATAGCGAAACTTATCGTAAATTCACATTAGCGAATACTATTCCACTAAGAAAATAACGCGAAACAAATATCGCTCATATTTTATAGCAAAATTCTTATCGCGAAACTTTTAAAGCTAATACATTACCGCGAAAATTTTATAGCGAAGTTATTATCGCCTAACCCAAATCGCTAAGACAATATAGCGAAATCTATTTCGCGAAGATATTAAAGCTAATTTAATATCGCGATAATTCCTAATAGTAACTATTTTTTTTTGAAACATTTTTTTATGATCAAATATAAAATAATATTTTAAAAAAATAGGTACAAGATTGATTCAATGATGGAGTTTTTAATTTTCTTTTAGCCTTAATAAATTTATATAATGATTTATGAACTCTATGGTTTATAAAATTTAGTGTTAAACGGCTCGTTTTGAGCCGATTTTTAAAAACGGCGAACTCCATATTTCATCCATAAAAAAATTACGCAAGCCAGAAGATTTTGTTCATAGAAGGAACAAAGGTCTATACATATATTATCGAAATCTCGAGGCTTAGGTAATATTTTTCTGGCTAAAATATTGAGTTAGCCATTTAACAACATAATAAAATTTATTATTGGAATAAAAAATATTTGGTTTCTCGAAATCTTTATTATTATTAATTATTGAGTTCATTAGTTTAAACCTTGATCCTTATTCGATAAATTACATCTAAGTGAAAGGAATTTCCCTAATTCAAAATATTTTTTAATTTTATGATTTACTATCTTTAAGCTTAAGCCAATATGTAATTCTTAATTACAATCTTATAGTACTAAAGCATTCATTCTTTTTTCCCCTTAATTGTTTAGAATTATAACTATAGTAATTTTTTCTGAATTTTCAAAAGATGATTTTTCTAAGTGAAAATTTTAATTTTCTCAGTTTCTTAGAAAATATAATATATCGCTCAGAAATTTCTTTTATTATTTTTTGAATTTAAAAATTAATCACTACTCTCTGCCTTAATAACTCAGAACATTTAATTTTAAAAAATTTGAGAAAATTTAAAAAAATAGAAAAATCTTCTGCAATTTTTAAAAATAATCAAAGAAAATCAGCAAAAATTCTTAGTTATCAGTATTTTATTTATCTTGATTTGAAAAATTTCTAAGCCTTTATAATATTTGTTTAAATTTACTTTTAATGGCATAAACCACATTTTAAAAATTTATATTTGGGAAGGGGTGAATTTATTGGGGTAGAAACTTGAACCAAAATATTCCCTCGGTACTTACAACCATGAGTGAGAAAAGACCAGAAAGAAATTGGCAAATTTATTTTTATCACAGAAGAAGAACATTATATTGAATATGTTGTTTTCCTTTAATTAAAATTCTTAATACAATATTTATTGTTTCGCGGTAATATGCTCGCGATAATAACTTCTTGTTAACACATTCGTGGTAGAAAATTCGCTAAAAAGAGTTCGCGATAAAAGCTTCACTAAAATGTATTCCCTCTAAAGTATTCGCGGTTAATATTTTTTGGAAATAAATTCGCTATATGGTCTTCGCTATAAATGTTTTACAGAATTGGCTTTACGATATTACCTTCGCTATAAAATTCTTTAGCGATAAACGGCATTCACGATAAAAATTTCGCTGAATTCACCTGATACTATCTTGTCTATTTCAACGCATCAGGGCTACTTCCCATTCATTAAATTACCATCCAGCCTGAAAACAGCATCAGCAATTATCCAACAAACTATGGAACTAATATTTGGCCACTTGAAAGACGTAATTTTCTACATTGGCAATTTACTGATTATTGGAACCTAAGATAAGACTTTTTAACTATATTAAAATAATTTTTGACAGACAAATATGGCTTGACACCCAACTTTGGCCTAAGCTAATATATGATGAATAAATATAGATTCATGGGCCATGATATATATTTCGAGGTCATACACCCAAATTGCGACAAAATTAAAGCAATTACAAATATGCCTGAATCCTCACCGAAAGACTAACTATCCAAATTTCTGGGGATGGACAGCTATTACTACAAGTTCTTAAATAACTTTTCCGATTTAGCGGATTTATTATATATAATAATAAACAAGGAGAAATAGACATGGAATATCGATAATTAGTGTTACTCATTAGTCAACCGCCTACGCTGTTCATTTTCGATCCATGCCAATCGGTATAGCAGAGGACGCCAAACGTTTTTTAGGAGTTGTGTAGTTCCATATAGGAGGCGATGGCAAAAAGAAATCTATAGCCTTTGCCTCCCTTGCATTATTGAAAGCTTAAAGAATTACACAAACATAGAGTGCAAGGATCTTGCTATAATTTGCGATCAAAAAGTTTCAAGAATATCTGATTGAGTAAGTTCACCATCATAAAGGATGATAAAACTTTGGTATATATATTCACAAAACAAAAAGTGTTGGATACAATGCATCAATGTCAATGAGGATTCTAAAATGGAACATTGCCATGGAGCTCATTATTTCACAGAGCTGGCACAACACAGTGCCTATCTT